AACCGTCCATTTATCCACTTAAAGCTAACAACAAATGTAGGGGCACCTCAGCAATTTGTGGAATCTACTGGATAAGAGTGTAAAGTGAAATCTGAATAATATGTAATATGTAAAGGGATATAGATCATTACTAAAACTGTGTATGACAGCAATATCAAAATAGTCGGATGGGATAAGAAGCGATAACAAAACGTGATTAAAACAAATATTAAACGACAAATTACGACAAGTTAATAAATGCTTGATGATAAACCGAAATATGGTCACGTAAGACGTAACAAATATTAAACATACCTATTTAAAAGTATTGAATCAGTACTTGGGAAAACACGCGAAAACAAACTCAAACAAAAATCATGCAATAATATTGAAATGAAATTACTTTCTAGCATTAACTACAATACATCAAATTATTTATCGCTCATCATATTGAAAATACTCAAGAGGAAAACGCATTTAAGCTGAACATACATTCAAAATTAAGCTCACCGATTTGAAGAGATGGCATTACATATATTTATACATGCATATATCATATACACCTCGATCATATTATATTCTGTATTTACTTTCATATACAAGAACAAAGTCCTCCCAGCATACCCACATATACGAAATATACATCTATATGCCTCACCTGCATTCGTACATCCATATATATTTACATAAAAGCGCATTTAATACAAGTTACATTTCATCACCAAAATTGTATCATAAGAAATGTATAAATCATATTTTTCACTTGATACTAATAACTAAAAATACTTAACCTAAGCATAACCACAAGCTCTGCATACTAAAAAACGCAGCTACGAGGAAAAGTAAAATGATAATTGCTTTATAAGGACTACCAATCCACAAAAAAAGAACCTAATACTCAATGCTGCATTTTGCCACGCCTACCTTTTTACCTTAACTGAAGCCTATACTAGATGATCAACCAAATTTTCGCGCTCTTCTCAAAAACATAATCACCACCAAACCCAACTATCTCATTTTAACTGCTTCACACTGTGCATAAGCAGCGAATATTTGCGCCGAGATAATTTTATATGCAAGGTATACATATTTCTATCTATAGTATATATATACACCCCTATATATATACAAGCATTATACACCAAAGCAAGCGCTTTACTTCAGATGCAAATGCAGTGCAATGGAGAAATGTTTATTACTCATTACGAAATAAACGATTCGCATACTTATTAAAATACATTTAGAGGGTAATGTTGTGTATTGTACTACGCTTTTTACGTTGTTGTTTTGTTTTCCCTTGCGTTTTACCATATTATTGTAACATTGTAATTAGTTCTGCAAGTGATTACGGCTAAGTTAAATACTGCATTGTGCGCTTTGTTTTGTATCTTCGGATATAAGTTGAATGATTGTATTTTGTAATTTAATTTTAAGCTTGAGGAATCGAGTCTAAGGTCGGTGAATCGGAGCCAGGCCGAGATCGAACCACAAATGAGATAAATATTAAAACCAACAAGTGTAAGAAAAACAACAAAAAAAAAACCAAACAAAGTGGCATCTGTTATTAGGTTAAAATAATTATTGATATTGTTTGCAAGAAAATGTGTGAAATATATATAAATACAAATAAAATACCACTTAGCATAAAAACAAACAGTGAACAGACAAGCAAAGAACAACAAATTGTAATTGCAATTTAAAAATAAAATTAATATTTCAAATAATAACAAAGACGTTTTATTGGGATACTAAATTTGGAAACTAGTATTAATTATAACTATGCGAGAATGATCTTGTGCACTAGTATCAAATAATAATAAATAATTTTTTTGAAATCCCTTTTTTCCTGGAAAGGTTTATGTCAATAGGTTTATTCCACTTACTTAGTAAGTATGGTAGAATATACATAAGTAGTATATGATATTTAATTTATTAATTATCATTTATTTTAATCTGTAAATTTTCTTACTGGAAGTAAAAATTTAACGAGGACGGAAGCTAACTTTGGCAAGCCGAAGTTTTAATACCATTGCAGACTTTGCCGAAATTGCTAAAACTGAAAAAATAGCGAAAGGAATAAGGTACATAAGTAAACTAGATTTTTATCGTTTCATGTCAATTGCTTTTATACTGCAAATATGTCATATAACAAGGAAAGCTAACTTCGGGCGGAGCCGAAGTTGATATACCCTTGCAGAATATTCTCCAAAATTATTCATATGATGCATTCTTAATACTCATAAAAAATCCAAACTTCCTAATTTTAAAAACACCAAAGTAATGGCATTTCCAATCGTTCAGTTATATGGCAGCTATAGGATATAGTCGGCCGATCCCTATGAAATTTGGTAGTTCGGATTGATTGGCCAAATATAAAACCCATAGAAAATCCCAACTTCCTAACTTTACAAACACCAAAGTTCTGGCATTTCCAATCAGTTATATGGCAGCTATAGGATATAGTCGGCCGATCCCGGCCGTTGCGGCATATATACTGCGTGTGTGTGCAAAGTTTCAATTTGATAGCTATAAAACTGAGAGACTAGTTTGCGTAGAAACAGACAGACGGACAGACGGACATGGCTATATCAACTCAGGAGCTGATCCTGATCAAGAATATATATACTTTATAGGGTCGGAGATGTCTCCTTCACTGCGTGGCAGACTTTTGACCAAAATTATAATACCCTCTGCATGGGTATAAAAATAGAAATAGAGGGATTTATTTATTTATCTAAAGCTAACAATTTGTGTTGAACTAAGAGCTACCGATTCGATAGAGCCAGAGCAGCTTAGGCCTTCAGCTCGGGGCTTAAATATGTTTGTGGATCTAATATAAAGTTGTTACAAAGTTTTCGTATATACAAAAGTATTGGATTAATTGTATTTACATATTTACATATTGTATTTACATGTATTCTTATTTCTTATTTTGTAAGTTATTTTAGAACTGTTCAGGAATTTTAAGAGTTGGGAGTTTGAATTTGTGGGATTTGCTATCATGGTTATAGGGTTGGGGTTTTGGAGAAATAGAGATCGTTGCAAGGTAAGGGCGGGGCAAATACACATTATATGCTGGATATCTACTTGCGCATTGTTGCAAAATGGGCACACGTTGCTTTTTGTCCTGTCTTGGTAGTGGGCGTTTGTTAGGAATGTGTGGCCGAGTCTGAGACGGGTTATAATAGTTTGTTCTCTTCTGTTTAGGGAAGAGTTTTTCAAGACGAGGTTGGTCGTTGATAACTTACGAATCTCTTGGTACCAACTGGAGGTGCGTAGTTGGTTTTGTTTTTCAATTTGAATTGATTTTAAGAGATGGGCTATGAAGCTATAACATATAGACGTCTGATCGGCAAAAAATTAAATTTTAGAAATCATAAAAATTGTTAATACAATTTTTTTTACAAAAAAGGCAAAATCTAAAGCAAATAAATCAAGTTATGACTTAATCTATTTAAATATTAATATATTTTATAAAACAAAAATACATATTAGCGACAAAAAAGTATATACAATTAAATACAATGTTTTCTGATAAATAAGAAATTATTATTTTTCCTTCTTTTTATACCCTTGCAGACGGTATTATAATTTTGGTCAAAAGTGTGCAACGCAGTGAAGGAGACAACTCCGACCCTAGAAAGTATATATATTTTTGATCAGGATCACCTCCTGAGTCGATATAGCCATGTCCGCCTGTCCGTCTGTCCGTCCGTCCGTCTGTTTCAATACCGTTTGCGACCTCAGTCGTCCTAAAACATGTGTACGCAGATCAAGTTTGAAAATCGACCCGATCAGAAACGATTTGCGTTTCCAGTCGGCGGCCATCGGAGCCCTGCAGGAAGCTTCTGAGGCGTATTTGGTGGGTCTCTTTGAAGATACCAACTTGTGCACCATCCACGCCAAGGGCGTGACCATTATGACCAAAGACATACAATTGGCGCGCCGCATCCGTGGCGAGCGTGCTTAAGCAGGATCACTAGGAGCAGAAGGATCACTGCCGTCCATCCCCAAACAGAGCATTTTGATTTCCGTTTTTATGAGGGAAAGGACCACCAGCGACACTTTGATCCAATCTATCATTTAAATTTTTGTTTATTATCATGTTACAAACAAAACCACACCAAAAAACATTACTTTAATGCTAAACATATTTGTAACTCTTATTATGTTAATTTCTTTTGTCACGTCTGCGTCGACGGTTGGAACGCCAGAGCGATTTCGTTGATCCATTCCCCGACGGCCGTCCACCAACATCCGCCACCAATAACTCCAACAATTGTCTGGCTGGCGGCCTTGATTTCCAGTAATCCGGTAATCCAGTAATCTTTAAGGCGTTTGGTTCGCCATTTTGGGGGATCTTAACATCTGGCTGTCGGGATTTGCGGACCTGGAGATCGAGTCTGACCTATCAAGTGCCGCCAGATAGACGTGGCAGGGCGGACAGAAGGCGACGGATTACTGCTCGTAGGCGATTTCTGGAACATTGAAGAGGCGGCGAGGGCGTGGCAAACAGGCGAACGACCTGAAAACGCATGACATTTTAACATATGAAATTGATATCCACATATAACCGAAGACCGAAAGAGTACACTTAAACTTACATTTATAAATATATACATAAAATATATAAGTATCTTTATAGAAATCGAAAATCTAATAATACTCGTCAACCCACTTTTGAGTGACAAGATTCAGATTCATCCCACTGTGCGCCGTAAATCCGCAAAGAATTACGTCACTTGCCGCCATGTCTCTTTCGACACGGAGGCTGACCCTCGGCCATCAGCTGTTTTTACGGGCGAAGGATGTCAGGTGCGGGGTGGCAGTGGGGTGGGGGTGGGTGTTAGGGCAAATGCCGCATGCACTGGCGGCAATCAGCTGTGGAGCTTTGGAGCACTCGGAAAGCTGGCCAGTCTGGCGGAGCTTCGGAGAGAGCCGGCGAGAGCTTTGGCTCCGAACGGAAAATAGGAGGCGACATCGAAAAGCAAGCGGCGCACCAGAGACCTTTCGGTGTTCGCCGCGCTTCGTCATCCTGCTTTTCCGCTTTTCCGAATCGAAAATGCGTGCCAAACTGCATGAAAAGGAAAACTTGGTCAGTTGAGGTCTCAGTTCGGGTCGGGTTTGCAATTCAACAGCACTGCGGAAGCGGAGAAAATTCGTCACCACAGCGGACGGGCCAAACAATAAGCCAGCGTAGTAATATCGACTTCACCGCCCTCGATATATATAGTATATATGATATTCGTAAGGAAACGGAATCGGAATAAATGCGAATGTGCCTGCCCGTTGAGTGGCCCCCCCAAATGTGTGTGGGGAAATAATTGAAAAACGCGTGGAAATTGCAATGTGCGAAATTAAATGTGCATTTGTGTTTTGAATTTTTAACGTCCCTCCCGTGTTTCCATTTTTTGCAGTGAGTGAGTGAGCCGAGTGAGTTATGTAAAGCTCTGGTGTTGGGTTCTTTTGGTGTTTCTGTTGGGTGCGGGATAATAACCAACACCACCACCGCCAACAGCAACAACAACAACATTGGCCAGTGGGAACTGCAGCAACAACAAGAACAACAACGGCGAGCGTGTGAAGCGACAATAAGCGTTGCAAGATTGAGTGGCTTAAAAAACAGTGGTTATTAAAAATTAAAGGCGATAGAATTAGGATGCGAAAAACGAGATTTGGAATGAGTATTGTGCTAGCAGTGGAAATTAAGTATACGCACCAGTGGATTGCTATTAATGTATGCATAAACTTGAAAATTAATCGGGTTTTGCGTGCTAAGCGATAATAATCTTAGGGTGAACTAAATAAATTAATAGAAAAAGTGAAATTTGGAGTATGAAAATATTTAAACTAAATAATTAAGTTGTTCAAAGTAAAATTTTCCGATGTCTACTAAATTTAGTATACGCACCATTGGACAGCACACCATATTTGAAATCAAACAATGAACTCAAAACTATAATGACAAGCTTTTAGTAAAAACCAAATTATAGGTGGTTTTGGGAAGGAAAATTAGGGCAAACTATGTATTTGTACTAATAGGTTAGAGTTAACGGTAAGAAATACAAAAATCTTTTAAGTCTCTACAATTTTCGCAGAGAAATAAGAATGTTAGATTTTTGTATAAAATACTTTCATACTATTTTTTAAACATCTTATTTATAAATCAATTATGTAATTTTCTTTTAATCATTAACTGCGTAATATTTTGTCTGAAAGTAGTGCAGGTGAAACTTGTGAAACTTCGCCAAACTTTTAAGTATAGTTGCTCTGTTCAAAAACTAACTTTAAATTCCCGAAAGACTGACTTAAGCCTGCGAAAGTTTATGTAAATCCAGTAAGCTTTCGTCATCCCCCGCTGGGTAAATCAATCAAAAATCATTTACAGTTGTTTCAATCCCTCGCAATCAGCCCATTGAGTGAGCTATATCATAACACAATCAGTTTGGGTATCGGCATCAATTACCAATTATAACTTGACAATAAAATCGCCAAGTGTCCGCATAAAGAGCCCAAAATCAACACACACACACCCGCCAATCAATTCGCTTTTAGCGGTCTCTCTCCGACTATTTTTAGTTGCACTTGCTTTCCTTTTTTTCTGTTATTTGTTTTTTTTTACTTTGCTCAATATTAGTGTCAAGGTGCAGCCAGTGCATAGAGACAGAGATGGGAATAGAGTCTGAGACAGAGACGGCGACAGTCGAGCCAAAAGAACAAGTCAAGAAAACGCAAAAGAATCAAAGGGGTAAGGGGGATGGGAGGGAAACCCCCTTTTCTTGGCGGCGACGACATCGCGAGAAAGCAACACACGAAAAGGTGGCTATCAAAAAATAATAACAAAAACAACACGAAAAAGGGAGGGGGAGGGGGTTTAGTGCATTAGGTGGGGTGGCAAGTGGGTGGCAGGGGCTTCTTTTGGGTGGGGGCCTCCTTCAAGACTTGTCACATCGAACAGAAAGAAATTGAATTTATGTCTTGGGTGGGTTGCCTTCAATGACAATTAGGCTGCTATAACCGCAGGTCTATATATGCCACATGCCGGGCCAACGCTCAGAGCACTGGTAACGGTAAAGCTATAGCCTCAGCTATAGCTAATGCCAACGTAACGGAACCGTGGCGCGTGTTTCGCTCGAAAGGTAAATCGCGTTAGCAACAACAACAACAAGGATACGCAAGGCTCAGCTTTCAGGCGGCGACCCACATTACTTAAATTACGAACTACACGCAAAGTCGCCGAAAGCCCACACACAACTGGGAAAAGTCACACACGCTGGTTAGTCATTTCGTCACTCCGTCAGTCAGTCAGTTCGTCACTTAGTCCGTCCATCAGTCCGTCGACTCGTTCATTCAGTCAGTCAATCATTAGCCAAAATGCCTTATGAGTCAGACCGTATGTGACCCACACTCGGAGGAAAATTTGAGTACTTTGCCTTCGGCTGTAAACAAAGTCTTTGTCAAACGTTTAAAAATTAGGGATTTAAAAAGATTCGAAAAAATTAGATCCATATAATAATAAAATCCTATGTCTATAAAGAACCAAACCTTTTTTTTATTGATCGTAATAATGTCCGTACAACTTTTTCATATGAAAGTTTTCAAAATTAAATCATAATCAAATAAGATTAGAGAGTCTTGTAGACTTAATTTTTTTAGAAAAATTTTGACACAAAATGTTCTTTTTCAAAAAAGAAAGTTTATTTTATGCAATTTAAATTTAATGCTAAATTGTGGACATTTTATTAATTGCTTTAAAATTAAATGTTAAAATTAAAGTTTGGAAACGAATGATCAATGAGTTTGTCATAATAAATAGGCAAAACATCCTTAACATACCTTTTTTTCCTAGTGCAAAGTCCTCGTCCTCGAGAATTGCGTGCTTTCGGGTGGAGCCTCCACCAAAGAAACGTGGATAGGGGGCGGTACGAGGTGGTGGGGCAGGAAGACATGTTGCATATTGCGGGGCGTGTTTGGCTGCTAGACAAAAATGTCGTTTTCAACGAAATTCCCAGCATACCAATGCCGTGTTAAGGACAGACATTGAAACAGAGGCATTTGTCTGACCGCCACCCTCGCAGTAATGAGATGAGAAACACCAAAATACACTTAGTATTTGTGTACCAACCAGCGGACGAATTTGTTTTTACAAAAAACACAATTAAATAAAATTTAGTGTTCCTTGTTTCTTGGTTTGTTAAATACCGAACCATCACACTTACACATGGTATTTTTGCTCGGTTTTGCTTTGGTCTCATGCTTCGCATTTTTGCATTTCTCTTTGCATTGCTTTGGTTTATTTTTAAAATCTTTCCTCAGAGCGTGTGAAAAAATGTCTTCTTCATTACATTGTCTGCCATAAATGATGCGAAATAAATAGACGATAAGTCTAGGGCGGAGGTAATTTATGATCTCTTTCATAAATACAGACGAACGTCCTTCCTTATGGCCATTTCGGTAATAAACTTCCAAAAACTGCACCATAACGCGTTGAAGCGTAAAAATAGATTCAGTGCGGCAACCGTTTTGTCGTAATTACTTAGAGATACGATGTGAATTGAATTCAAAGCCAAATGTTTTTTTATTTTTAATTTCATTTTATTTAAGCGCACAATTTTCACGCGAATACGCCTGGCAATAATCTAGTGCATAAATAAATAGAAATAGTTCATTGAGGCAGAAGACAAACACGATTTTTACAGTCTTTGGCGTTCGTACATATTCACATGCATACGTGGCATAGAGGCATGTAAATATACGCCAGTATAGGAAGTGCTAGAAATTATTTATTAATGAATCGCTGGGAAAAAGCGAGTGCACAAATGAAGGGTGGATGGATACACTGAGGTGGTTGAGTTGAAACGAAATTAATAATAGAAAATGGTTTGGGACGGGAAATTTGAGGAAACTGTTTACTAGACGACGTTTTCAAACACATATAAATTTAAAAAAATATGGATTTAATAATAACAATTAATGATTTATTAATTGATATTTTTCAAAAAATTGTAAGTCTAATTTTTTCTATTTTTCAAATTGTTTTTTTTTTGAATTCTCTCTAATAATTCTTTAAGCTTTGTTTAAGTTTCTTCCTAGTTTGTCCTTGCCAATTTCTCTTTTCTCCAAATGTTTATTTGCAACTTTGTTTTATGCCAATGTTTCACCAACAAGACATCTTTAAGAAAGTTTTAGATCACAACTTAAAATCTGAAATTGCTCGGATCTCCGAACTTCCTCACTTTCTCAGACTGAAAAGCGTTCTCAGACTTTATTTAAATAAAAAAGTTATCTGCTCGACCTCTTCAACTCTACCAGATCCCATTATAAATTTCACCAAGACGTTGCCTGTCGCCCCAAAGACTTTTATCTGGGCCCCAGCTTTACATCACTTTCCATAAGTTTCTACCTCAAGGCAAGTGTTTTCCTGCTCTTTCCGCTGCCAACTAACTGCTCGGCAAATTGCTGCCACTTACATAAGCAGCTCGCCCATCACTTACTCAAAGAAATACAAAAAGTTTTGGCCAGGAAGTGGCGCCAAATGAGCAACTGAGAGTAGGTAGAAAAAATCGGGGAAAACTTTAGCATACATCGCAGGGCAGTTAAGACTTCAAAGTAAACAAAACAATCGTAAAAGGCAAGTGCGAATGTGGGAACAAAACAAAGCGAGAGAAACGTATAAAAGGGCACGGCGAAATAAAACAAATCACATGGCCAAACATAAAGCGTCAAAAGTTGGCCAAATAAGGCGAAAATAAGAAATGAAATAAAACGAGGCGCCCTTTTGTTGTTGTTGTTAGTGGGGGGTGGGTCGGCGGTTTCAAAGGACCTAAAACCAACACCAGTGGAAAATCAAAAGAAAAACAAGGGAAAAAAGAAATATACATTTCAAAGTGTCGTACAACGTCGGCTGTTCGCGAGTGCTAGTGCGAAATCCTGTGTGTGTCGTTCGTCAGGCGATGCGATGCGTGTCCTTGCAACTTTCTGCTCAGTCCTCGCCCTTCGCCCTCTCTCGCTCACTCACTAGCACCCCTCCCCCCTATATAACCGACCCTCTTGCTCACTCCCACAGCCCACAGCCAGCGGCAATTGCACATAAGTTGCAACAAGCAAAGTAACAACAACAAAAAAAAAAACGAAACAAAAAAGGTAGAAAAAATAAACAACACAACATTGTAAGCGGGCTGAAAGGCGTTGCCAGATTGTTGGCCGACAGCAACAAAAACAACAAGCAAAAACAACACCAACTACGCCACAACAATAGCCTAAAGGGCCAAATGAACGTTGTTGGCTAGTCCGTCTGTCGCCCGCTTGGTGGCGCTAGCTACAACTACAACTACAACAACGACAACGACAACATCACTGCGTGCTGCTGCTGGAAATCCTGTCGCTAATTAGGTAAGTCACTACCATTCGGCCGCAAGGAGTGTGTCCTTTGTGGTCAGGAGGTGATGGGCATATTATTTCATTTCGGGGCCGGGCTCTGTAATTATGGCAATTTACGTCAGCCGCCAGGCGAGTGCAGCAAATGTTACACATACGCCACGTGGCCACGAGACTGTTTTAATTCTTAAACGTATATTATTCTAGCCTCTCTCCCTCGTTTACAGTGATGTAATATAATTAAATAAGCTTTAAATAAATGTTTTGATCATATTAATGCTTTTATTTAGTGCACCTTAGCTCGGCTTTCAGATAAAAGCATTAGAGCAAGACCAACATTTATTCTATTGACCTGGAATAATTTAAAAAACTCCAAGACTTGTCTAGGGAAAGATATAAGCTTGGATCCACCGATTTAATTTGGGCCAACTTACATAATTTTTTTTTCAATGTAATATAAAAATATTTCAATTTTTTACAAATATTTGAAAATATTGCCAATTTGATGCTTTATTGCAATTGGATTAGTATGATAAAGAAAAAACCTTTAGCCTTAACTTTAATTTCGTCTGATTTACGTGGATCTACATGGATAGAAACTTTTGAAACTAACCGAATAATTTGTTAGAATACTATTAAACATTTTTAACTTCCTGCAGTTGAAGTCTAGCTAGCATTCTACACCTTAAATTTGTAATTTTTTCCATAACCTTTTTTACCCCCGGCAGGCAATCGATGTACGAAGCAAAATGAAAAAAACTTTTAAACCGATTTCTCTTCATTTTGGATAAACCGCGTTGCGCCAAATTGAATTTCCTGGCTAAACTGCATCGAGGGAACTGAGGGGGCATATAATCATACAAACAGGTGAAATGGAACTGCAATGTTTGGCTTTCATTTCGTGTTGAATATAATCATCCTGTGCAATATGGGTGCATGATAAATTGATTTCGATGGTTGTAAATTTGGTGGACTTTATTTTTCCGGTCTCTCAACTGTCTATCCTTATTTTTCTCTTTTTCAAGAAATTCGTTTCTCAATGGAGATTTAAGCAACTCCGATAAATATACGTCTTCATGGGTACATTTTCGTTGCTAGAGCGTGTCACATGCATTTTTTGCAAAGCATCAATTGTATTTTTTCCAGTACGGAAGTATAAATTCTTGTTGATTGTGACCTGAAATGGCAGGCATTCCTCTTTTTTCTGTTGAAGTTTTTACAAAGAACAGTTGGGGAATCGGCTAATAAAAACAGCGCGCAAAGGAATAACATTATGTCCAGTTCTTTGGAATTGGGATCAAAATGAAATCCATTTCACACCGCATGGACTCACTATTTGTTTTGCATGACAAAAATGTTCCGTGTCCAAGCTGACATATGCGTAATATCTCTGGAAACTATATTCCACCAGGGAATGCTATGAATTTGTATGTAGCTGTAAAATTTTGACCTACATACTGGTACAGGTAACTGAAAGCCGAAAACATTAAACACTGAGCCTGGGGGAAAGTGGAGGCGGCGTTCTGGCCAAATGGAAAATCAACAGCAAAGAGAATGAAAAGGCCAGCAAGCAAATAGAAAGAAATTCCTGGGAATCGCCTTGCCGGGGATCAGGCGGACAATTGAATGGCCCGGGGGCAGCCCCAACTAGCTTGGCTTTTTTACTGAGGCTCTATTCTCCTGCCGCTCGCTGTATCCTTTCTGCTCTCGCGTTGGCCATCCTTTTGTTGTCATAACTGGACGAACATTTTTGCAAGAGCTGACAGCTTGGCTTATTTTTGGTCAAAACTGATGGTTATACATTAACAGCATTGAAGACTTAAGCCCAAGGCATTACTTATTTTTAAATATATTTAAATATTGTTAAATACAACAATATTTTAATATTTGTAAGTCTAAATCATATTCTGATTCCAAGTTAACTTCCTATAAAGACTCATTTTATTCAAAGAAATCAAAATGTTTTGATACCGTAAATATCATATATATTTTCAGACTTATTTCATAGACTTATTTTTAGCAACTTTTTTAAAACTTAAGGTGAGTTTCTAAAAATATTAAACAAAAAAGTTATGTCTCGGTGTATATTCGAATATGTTTAAAAAAATGCGGTTCTTTTTAAACTTTATATCCGATTGCTTTTATGGCAGCTGTATTGTTGTGCGATCCATATTTTATAGTAAATGTCCTTTTGACTGAAATAAAATCCCTTGAGCTAAATCCCAAATGTTAAGAAAGAAAAGAATTTTATCTTTTTTTTTAACGAAGCAACATTTTTTTAGGCCTGATATTTACCTCAATCAAAAAACGTAAGAAATTACTATTCCAATTGAAATTAGCTCTCATGGACACTTTTTCCTGTAATTTTTAAATTGTGATTTTTATTTCGCATTCTGTTTGATTTGAGTAACAGGTTTTGAAAAACGACTCGGCTTTTTTCAATCACTTTCCGTTGAGCTGCGGGGCTCAGTAAAAAGGGCTCATCCTGTTGGCAGGACTATCTGCCAACTTATTGGCCCTGCTGTGGCGGCTGCATGTGTTATCCTTTTTATGTTTGGACATCCCCAGCAGCAGGGAAACTGCACTTGTGCAACAACTATCTGCGCCGTTCCCGCTCCCTGGTCTCGCCCTTTGTGTGCACTCAATTTAGCCATTTCTTGCAATTCGGCGCTTTCTTTCGGAGATGGAAGCTGTGGTGAATCCCCCCAGAACCGCAGCCAGAACAAATTTAATCTATTCTGAAAGTTTTCCATGTGCGCCAAGGGAGCTGCAAGTGCTCGTGGGTTGTGGGCTTTTCGGTGCTTTCGTCTTGCCGAACAGGCTGTCAGAAAATGTGACAGCAACTAATTAAGTCAGTCGTGAAATTGCACTCGACGTTTTCCGAGGTGCAGGAAGCGAAAGTCTTCTGTGAAGTGATGTGGTGTGAGAGAGTCGAGAGATTCGCACCCGGAAAGTGGTTGCTTAAACCTTTTTGACAAGGCGAGACTCCACTCAATTGGTGCACAGAAGCAGAATAAAATTAGGGTCGAATTGATTTGATTTCGAGACAATTACCCAGCGAACTCCGTGCGAAATTGTAATGCGAAAAAGCAGATATGCGAACAGAGGCAAATGTGGGCATACAAAATTTGAAATGCTTTTATTCCGGCGTATTCAATTTGCTTAAGTATATATATTTTTAAATATTAAAAAAAATGTTATTTTATTTTGAAATTGGGAAATCAACTATTCTTTGATTATTTAATCATTCTATTCTAACAGATATAGATATAATTATTCCCGTGTGTTCACCTTTTGTGCCAATTAATTGAAAGCCAATTCCAGGTTTGTTCTACCGCATTACGCATGCGACCCCGTGGTTTAGTGTCAAATTATCAGCTACTTATTATTATTACAGCTATTAGACCCGCTTTTCGTCTCTCCGCATGCCTTTCGAGCCCCAATCAATGTCAGCTGTTGTCATTGTTAGCATTTTATTTGCCTTCTTGTTGGCTGGTGTTTTGTGCGCTTATGTAAACCCTGAAAAGCAGACAAAAGCCTGCCAAATAGCGCAAAATGTGCGCCAATTTAGTTGTCGTTTAATTTGATGGCACAGCCGATTTGGCAGGCAAAACGGCAGTGGAGGATTAGGCCGGAGCAATGGTGGCCACGTCATGAATGACTGCCCAGCGAATGCCAAGCGGAAAAATTGCTGAGGAAAGCGCTAGCTCAAAAGACCGAAAATAAAAAAACACAAAAAAGGGAAGTTCTCTATCGAAGGTTGAACGGCAGCAGAACGAAAATAAAAGTGACCAGCAATAAAATGCTGAAAGGAACATACAAGTGCATATATAACAGAAGGACAAGGACTGAAATAAAATCTACTGTCCAACCTCAACAGCTCGAACCGCAGTCCTAATCTGGTTTTATAACTTTGTTTTTGTCGTAAAAGTTTGCTTAAGTTAAAGATTATAATTCAATATGCACTTAATATTTATTTATATACTTTTTTTCCTTAACAATTATGTTTATCTTAAGAAAATCAATGTAAGCTTTTCAGTACTAGAAACTATATTAATTGAACTCTATTAAAGTTGTGTGGGATTGTTAAATCTTACATAATCATAAGTTCCTTACAAATTTTAACAGTATTTCGATTCGATTTAAAAAATTGCTTTAAAAGGTTAAAGTAAACGCTATAAGTTTGTATAATGAAGTTAAGTAGAATTCATTGTAGAGGTTTGACTGTGTATAAAAACATGATACAAAAACTCTCCTAATTTATTTGAAAGGGTGTCCCAGTGCGTTGCGTGTCATTCACATATATTTAGTGTCTAGGCCTAAGGTCGAGGAATAGAGTTTGAGAGGGAGACAAATAAGTTGAGGCACGGAGATGGACACTAGCACTCTGAATGTTCGCAAATAATGCAGACCATTACATTAATGACTGCGGCAAAAAGTCGAAAAAGCGCCAAAAAGTCCAGCCAGCAGACGAAAACAGGGAAAAACAATGAAAGGAGCCAGAAAAAAGCGAGAAAATCGAAACATTATGAGGTCATTTTAATTATTTATGTGTGCGTGTGGCCAGCCTAAAAGTACGGACTTTGCCAAGGTTACGGATCCAATAGGACCTCGCCAGACGGGAGATTTCATTTTATTTCCACCACTATGTTTGCCGAACTCTTTAAGCGGCTTACGACTGTGAAGGAGCCCATAAGTCATGGTTTGACCCAGATATCTCAACATATTGAGTGGGTTTATTTGGCCAAAACTATAACTGGGATATGGCGTTCTTTTCTTAGCTGTGCGTGCTTGGAAATTTTGATTTTTTCGTTGCCAAATTGAGATTTATGTATGTCTTGTCCTCAGTTTAGTAGTTAAAACTTGTACCAATATTTATGAGCTGCTGTGTGGGAGACTTCTTCATTGGCACTCGTTCAGTTGGCAAAACATCAGCGAAGCTCTGCTCTGAAAATTCAAAAAACCAGAGAGCACCCACAAGTAAATTAAGCACATAGATCATATCTTGTTTATGC